GTACGGGTCTTGCAGAAACGCTCATAGATGGTTGTACATGGTAGAAGCCCCCTTACAGTCTCACCTTTTTGGGATGATGTGTACCTGGAGCTGTAGCTATAGTACCAGTACCATTAAAATGTGGAACAGTATGTAAGACTGTATAGATTTGACTATATACTGTAAATACATTCATAACAAACACAAAAAAGATTTGAATGATGACTTATTCTTTTGGTCCACATTGATCATGGACTCGTAATTATATGAGAGATATGAGATCAGATCATCTCTCTTCAGAATATACTATATACAATATGATTTGTACATGTTTAACACATTACATATGGAATTATAATTGTACATACTGTTCCTTTTAGAATACCCCTCAGCCAGGGCTTGATGTTGACAAATTATAGGGCTATTACTCAATCAAAATGCAATAAATCTATCACCGGAAACATGTAGCAGACAAGGCAGAAGCCAAATAAAGCCTCAGTGTGTAAAACATGGCTGCACGACCTGAGGCTATTACACACATGGATTACTGTGAAATATTGGAGCGAGATTTAATATAGATATCTACGCTTGATGGATGGTTAAATCATAATTCTTTTTGTGATATAAAATCAGCAAAAGGAGCAGTCAAAAGAGGTTGGAAAAAAATTCAAGAATAATGTTGCTTCAAAATTGCTTATGTCGCTGGTAAAATCAATAGTTTACAGCAGTGAAAATAATGTAACTCATTATGGACTTGCTCACCCTCAAAGTCGCCACTGTCCATCAACACTGAATCCATTACTATCACAGACAAATTCCTCTGCATCAACAAAATAAAATCAAAATGATACAAAAATCCAACAAAAAGACTTTTCTTCCTGAGACAGCTCAAAAGGGGCGGGGTCAGACCCAACATCCTCATCCTCACACATACGCCATCATTCACAGCATCCTCACTTCATAATAGTCCGGAATGCTAACTTAGATTTTCATTCAAGCAACCAACTCCAGCATCACCAAGATACAAGATTCATGGATTGTCATTGTCACAGAGAGCTTAGTTTGATTTAAAGACCACAACAAATCCCATAGTTTAAACATTTAACCAATCCTGGGCATCCGTGCAATGTAGCAACACGGTAACAGATCCATGGATGTGGTGACAGAGTAATGTTTTTGTGTCTTGATGTGTGTTTGTTCTGTTTGTCTCCGTGATTTCACTGACACTGTTGAGCTTTGAGCCTTTTGCTGTACCAGAAACAAATTCCGCTTCCTCGACGTGTGGCTAGTTTACTGGCTAACAATTATGTGACACCGACACCACAATGAAAATGATAGCTTGAAGGTAAGATTCCAACACAGTTTTCTTGGTAAATGTTTAATTATTGTAAAATGTGTGTGTTTATAGCTGTCGGCCTGCTCCTGTGAACCCCACTGGAACATGTAAACAATATTAAGGATCCATTTTACTTCAGAAATTAGCCACAAAAAGTGACCTTTAACATTCTCAGCAATCATTTCCAAATCACACCACCACCTTATATAAACATGCACACATTTGATAGTAATGTGTAATATTGTCTTTATCTCCATTATGGTTAAAGGTCAGAGCCATAACATCCAGCCGTCTCAACAGTAACTGCTGTTTGAAAACAAATATGTTAAAAGCAATTAGGTATTGTGTCTGAATGTCAAATTTGAGCAAAGAGGCAAGAAATGCACAATTCCCCAATAGTCCAGTCAACCCTAGCTCTACTGACGGCTTGGGGCCAACATGTGTCAGAATAAATTCAACTGATTATCAAGAAAGAATTAGTATTTCTCCGTCTGTTCCATCTCCTATGCACTTATTTTGAGGGAAAGTGATGTGCCTTTAAACTTGTCCACAACAGTATCTCGGACCTGCCTGGTGTGTTCCTTTGTCTTCATGGTTCTCTCTGCGCTTTAAACAGAACCCTGAGACTATCAAAGAGCAGGTGCATTTATACAGAGACTTGATTACACACAGGTGCATTCTATTTATCATCATCAGTCATTTAGGACAACATTGGATCATTCAAAGATCCTCACTGAACTTCTGGACTGAGTTTGCTGCACTGAAAGTAAAGGGGCCCAATAATATTGCACGCCCCACTTTTCAGTTTTTTTGTTTTTTTTTTAAGTTTAAATTATCCAATAAATTTCGTTCCACTTCACGATTGTGTCCCACTTGTTGTTGATTCATGACAAAAAATTAAAATGTTATATCTTTATGTTTGAAGCCTGAAATGTGGCAAAATGTTGAAAGGTTCAAGGGGGCCGAATACTTTCGCAAGGCACTGTATGTGTATACCTTTACACAGATTGATTGAAGCATTTACAGCTAGCTAAGAAACACAGCAGCTACTTATATTGTATATCGTGTGTGCTCTTGCCACTGTCCTGTATGTGTGCCTCAAGTAATAAAAAATAAATAAAAATATACCTTTTTCCACTTGTTGCAGAAGCTCCTGGTGTGGCCTTCATAACCACCATTGTGTCCACTCTCCCCGGCTTCACACCCTGTAAAGTTGGTTTAAAAATAAAAAGAGTGTGTCTGATAATATTCACATCGATGAGTGCCATGATAAGATAGGACACTTTATTGATCTCACAATGAAGACATTTACATGAGCTTACATAAATTATTACCAACCATGGTTCGTGGTTTATGCCACTTTTGCTTGGTTTCAGTGCAGGAAAGAACAGCACCACAGACATCCCACTCTCACAATAATGTGCAGTCTGGTACAGCAGAGCAACTATGTGGTTGCACAGTGCCTGGCCAGCCACACAAGAGCAGGAACTCCCAACAAGCACAACTGGGGTTGATTCACGGAGTGTAATCTGCAACAATAATAGAGGGTTTTAGAGGAATTGTCTTACGTGTCATGCTTTTTTTAATGCAATGTAAAAGGCAGCCAAGTAGGGTAAAAGTATATGTACAATTGGAAGGTTTATAAATTATTTCTGTTTGTTTAATGACCTTTCATGAGTGATCAAAATCAGAGCTGCCAGACAAATTCTCGTCCTACTTAGCAGCCTGACAACGTTTCAGCGTGGCTTCCCCTATATTAAAAAGCATATTTGAACATGTTCTACAGAACATAGAACAACATTAAGTCCAACAGGACAACAGAACAACAGTCCAACGGGACAAAGACAAAGTCCAACGGGACTGAACAACAGAGATGCCAGAACCATGGCTGGTGGGGAGCCTCGGACTTCTTCATAGAGCGGTAGCACCGGGCTCTAACTGTCACCTCGCCTGTCAGAGAATTTTTACCTGACACTGGTAATTAGAAAAACAACTTTAATCGTAACACATGTACATAACATTAGCTCGCTACGAATGGGTCGTTGCGGGTATTAAAAGGCAGTCACATTAGTTAGCATGTTAGCAAGAGTTAGAGCCTGTGAACTTACCTTCAAAGTGTATGATGTACGAACAAACATACAACTTAAACCCCTTCTCCATGAGGCTCTGTGGAGTTATCGACACACTCCTGACCAGTCGTCGGACGTCATTAACCGAGACTTTTGGGATCTCGATTAAACAACGAGTGAAATCTGCCATTTTCCGTGGTAGTTGCATAGACTGTAACAGCAGTAGACCGGGTATGACGCGGCGCCGGAAGTGACATCTCATCTGACGCAGAACCCGGAAGTGATGCGTGCATATAGCCCATGGGATCTGAGTTTACCGTGACGTATGTAATGTGCCCGAGTCTGCATTCCTCTTGCTCTGGCTTCAATTCCTTGATAGAACCAGCCGGGTTACTTTACTATCGCATTTTTGCCATTACCAAACTATAACCTGCCTGTTCGACACAAACTCTTGACATCACCAGTGGGGGCGGGTTTCGGCTCAAAAGTGGCCAAAATGACGTGCGCTGACATGCTGCAGTACCACCCCGGGCCGATGGGGGTGGACCCGGAAGAAGAATTAGCCAATGCTAACATATAGCATTGGCAGACCTCTCAAAAACGTCTTTACAGGATGGACCAAAAGTTGGCTCTTGGCCCAAAGCTCCGTTCCACATGTGTGTCAATGCTGAGGGAGTGTTTTGGTCCACTCTAGTTTACTCGCTGTGAATTTTTGAAGTCACTCGTTCAAATGAATGGAGCTGCGCCGGCTGACACATGCGCAGATGCGTTTTTTCACAATTTTCTTGTGGGCGGGACCACTCGCGGCCATTTTGGATTGCTCCAGTAGAGCACATTTTTAGCCCATTAGTTAGAACGCCAGAGATAGGCGAGACTCTGTCCGTTAATATATACAGTCTATGGACATCACCCACAACTAACTACAACACCTGCCTCCCGCGCTCTCTGATTGGTTGGTCGAAGTTCAACCGATTGTATTTGCTAACACTGGGACCAGACCCAGACGTTACATGCAGTGAAATGATGATTGAACGGAGTGTACGGATGGATAAGGCCAGACTACCACAAAACCAACTTTACTCAGCAATAGACAACTTTGTGCTGAACTGTAGGGGGCGCTGGTCTGACCAGACTTGGTCTTCCCTACATACTAAGGGTGTATTCAGACCTGCACATTTGCTCCACTTTAAACGGACCAGGATTTGTTTGGAACTCTGATCCGAATCTTTTATGCAGGTCTGAATACACACAAACGAATCCTGGTCCGGACCAAAGAACCGAACCGAGACCCACTTTTTTAGGTGGTCTCGGTCCGCTTCCAAACGAATTCTGGTCCAAGTCGAATCAGGTCTGAATACATCCGGTGTCGATCCGACACAACTCCAAGATACGTGCACATTTTTTGGGCTTAACAAGCCACCGTAGACGGGAACTGTGAGGAATTAGCCCCACGTCACAGCTGCTAACGCATGCTATCAACAACAATGAGCCGTGGGCAGACCTGGAGCAGCGAGGAGACACTGTGCCTCCTTGAAATTTGGGCAGAGGAAAATATAATTCAACTTCTTGAAAAAACACACAAAAATGCGGTGGTGTTCCAAATATTTAGCGAGAAAATGAAGGAGAGGGGCTATGAGCGGTCTCAGGATCAATGCCGCGTCAAAGTGAAGAAACTTCGCCAAACTTATGAAGGTGTGAGACGCATTGAAGAAGAGTGGGAGTTCTGGAGAAGAAAAAGACAAATGTCCCTGGTATGACGAACTCGATAAAATATTAGGAACAAGACCAACCGTATGTCCCGTGGACATAATAGAAACAAACACAGCGGACGAGCCTTCATCCGCAGAAAACACATCTGCCATCAGCTCCGGTGAATCAGAGGTGTTTTTAATACCTTTTATTGTCCGTGTAAGCATCATATTTATTTCTATTTCTTTTGATGGGGTTTTGACTGGCTTTTGTGATCAGTTGTTTCCAAAATAAGTATCACATAGCTGTTTTCCATCTATTATGTGTAATTTAGCTAGATTTTTTTGTAGGTATGTGATAACAATAACAAAAGTACAACAAACCTAACTGTAGAGGAGTAATATAAAAAGCTTAATTTTTGCTGCACTGTAATGCTTTTGTGTATATTTCATAGATCACAAGGAAACTGCAGCACCTCCAGATGACACCACTGATGGAGAGGACCACAGTGCTGCACCCAGCTGTGATGAAACAAAGAAAGAAAGGCAGGCTATCCGTGGTGTTCAGGCAAGGCGGCACTTGGGAAGGAAGCGCAAAGCTGAAGCTTCAACGTCTGACTGTGGGTTGCAGGCTTATATTGCCCAGCAAACCAAGCAGCTGCAACAGATGTTTGAAGCTGAGCAAAACCGTCAAACGCAGGAGAGTACAGCTCTGGAGAGTCTTCTAAAAGCACAGCAGGAGGCAGAGGATAAAAGATTCCAAATGATACAAGCACAACAACAGGCACATACACAGATGATCAGTCAGATAATGGGTACTGTTGTTAATATGCTGTCATTTAGTAGTCAAGCACAAAATCATCCTTCACAACACACCCAATATCACCCTCCACAAGCACCTGCTCTAACTCACTGGCTTCCAACTGCCTCATCCAGGTCTACTCCAACCAGATCCACACCGAGCAGCACATGGTCCATTCTTCAGTCCCCAGTGTCACAACAGTGCCCTACACCACCCATGCAATCACCCACCGTCAAACTAGATGGGGAGGAACAAAATGTGTCACCAGCTAACCAACAAGTGTCAGACATACAGCAACAAGTCAATTACAGTCAGCATTTTCATGACCTGTAGATAATTTATTTGCACAGATATGTTTATCATTGTGGGCTTAAGTTAAAATGTCCGGGCAGTTGACTGTTTCGTCAGAATGTTCAACAGAAAGTTTACAAGTTTAGTTATTTTGTACAAGACGAGAAAGAATGTATAAAGACAACAAAAATTATATGACAATAAGATTGTCCTTTATTTTGTTACTTCTGGAACTTGAAATATGTGCACTTTAAGTTATTTTTGCAACAGCATTTTTTTAATACTTGGCACTGATTTGTTTTATTTTTATTAAAAAGTGCCAATATGTGAACAATAAAGTTCTGTACCACTGCAACTACTGTATTTGAACAAAGTGTGTTAACAACAACAATTTCACTTTATACAGACAAATGATTCTTTTTAGAATCTTGAAAAATAAACCGACAGAGCATCTCTGATGTCACGGCCCCTACGGTCTCCAACCTGTAGAGGATGCTCTACATCTGCTTCACAATCATGTTCCGGTTGTACGTTTTCCTCCTCTTCTATATACTCCTCATGATGAACTTCACAAAAATTATGCAACACACAGCATGCCGATGTAATTTCACTAATGAGAGAGATGTGTGATTCATTTTGTTTAAGGAGGCATCTCCAGCGTCCTTTAACACTAGCAAACCCATGGAGGTGCCATTTGGCACTTCTACCTAAAAAGCCCACCACGGTGCCAAATGACTCCAAGGATTTTAGCTAACAAACTAAATCACCTGTGAACGGCCAACTTTGTTATGTAAATAAGGCCATTATCACAGGCTGAGCTGAAGTTGCTCAACCACTTTACTTTGTCTTCTTTGGGAGAGGGAGGATCTGATTAGTTAAAATGAGTTAAATCTAGTGTCATGCTGACTTTAGTTAAAAAAATAATAATGAAAATAATAAAGTGAATTGAAAGAAAACAAACGAGCAACGTCATTCAATGTATACATTTACATTGTTTACAAAATAAATATGCTACTTACAGTTTTTCTCAGTGTCTTTGGTGCATTTATCACATAATTATTCACATTTGCACGACAGTTAGTGCATTTATCAGAACAATTAGTACAAACTGCAAAACCTTGGGGATAACCTGCAAAAGTGCATCACCTTCTCAAAATGAAAAGTTTATTCCTCAAAAGCAAGTCTTCATGTCGAGGAAACTGTCTGTCTCAAAATAATAAGTCTTAACAACATGGAGTATGAACAACACAGTCAAATGACTTCGTCACGTTTTCATTGTGACACTTTACTCTCTGTGTTTTCAAAGCAAAAAATCAGATCTTGGTGAGCACTGTACAGCTGAAAACTACAGTAAAGTTACACACAACTGTATTTAGTGAGAGTAAAAGAACATTTATACTGTATGTACTGTATGTGTGTGTGTGTTTGTGCATGTATGTATTTACTGTGTGTGTGTGTTTGTGCATGTATGTGTTTACTGTGTGTGTGTGTTTGTGCATGTATGTATTTACTGTGTGTGTGTGTGTTTGTGCATGTATGTGTTTACTGTGTGTGTGTGTTTGTGCATGTATGTATTTACTGTGTGTGTGTGTGTTTGTGCATGTATGTATTTACTGTATGTGTGTGTGTTTGTGCATGTATGTATTTACTGTGTGTGTGTGTGTTTGTGCATGTATGTATTTACTGTGTGTGTGTGTGTTTGTGCATGTATGTATTTACTGTGTGTGTGTGTGTTTGTGCATGTATGTATTTACTGTGTGTGTGTGTGTTTGTGCATGTATGTGTTTACTGTGTGTGTGTGTGTTTGTGCATGTATGTATTTACTGTGTGTGTGTGTTTGTGCATGTATGTATTTACTGTGTGTGTGTGTTTGTGCATGTATGTATTTACTGTGTGTGTGTGTTTGTGCATGTATGTATTTACTGTGTGTGTGTGTTTGTGCATGTATGTGTTTACTGTGTGTGTGTGTTTGTGCATGTATGTATTTACTGTGTGTGTGTGTTTGTGCATGTATGTATTTACTGTGTGTGTGTGTGTTTGTGCATGTATGTATTTCTGTATGTGTGTGTGTTTGTGCATGTATGTATTTACTGTGTGTGTGTGTGTTTGTGCATGTATGTATTTACTGTGTGTGTGTGTGTTTGTGCATGTATGTATTTACTGTGTGTGTGTGTGTTTGTGCATGTATGTGTTTACTGTGTGTGTGTGTGTTTGTGCATGTATGTATTTACTGTGTGTGTGTGTTTGTGCATGTATGTATTTACTGTGTGTGTGTGTTTGTGCATGTATGTATTTACTGTGTGTGTGTGTTTGTGCATGTATGTATTTACTGTGTGTGTGTGTTTGTGCATGTATGTGTTTACTGTGTGTGTGTGTTTGTGCATGTATGTATTTACTGTGTGTGTGTGTTTGTGCATGTATGTATTTACTGTGTGTGTGTGTTTGTGCATGTATGTATTTCGATGTATGTCTGTGTACTGTATGTCTTTCACATATTTACTGCATATGCTCTTTTCTACAGCATTGTGCAACAGAAATACAGTCACATACATAGAGCAAACATACAGAATATCATTATGGTAGAACTGTGACGAATATAAACAATAAAACACACACCTCGTCATGAGTGAAGCTGAAATTCGAAATTAGGAAAGATTTTCTGGATATAAAAAGATAAAGTAATGTATGAAATTAGTTTGACAGATTTTGGTTTTGAACAGTTTTGTATGTGATGACCAAAGCGATGAAATGAGGACTACTGGTTTTACAGAAACTATTCAGTCGTGAAAAGTATGTTTCATTCTGATTGACAGGACAGAAGCAAATGTTAATGTTATAAAACAGCAGAGAACTGTATGAAAGTAACTGATACATGTCCAAAAGCATTTGTAAAGTGTTCAAAGGAGAAACTGCCGCGATGATGTCACACACAACTCAATGTTGTGGAGGTTCTACCGTAATGATTTTTTGTATGTTTTTCTACGTAAATACTGTATGTGTACTATTTTTGTTGCAGAATGCTGTAGAATTGCAAAGAGCATAAGCAGTAAATATGTGAACATACAGTACATACATATGTATCACTAAATACAGTCACAATGAAAACATGACTAAATCATTTGACTGTTGTTCATAAACACTGATGTCAGGACACAGACACAGACCGTTTCATTGACATGAAGACTTTCTTTTGAGGAATTAAGTTCATTTTGAGAAAGTGACTTTTTAGCAGGTTATCCATGAGGTTTTGCAATTTGCACTCATTGTTCTGAGAAATGCACTAACTGTTGTTAAAATGTGAAGAATTATGTGAAAAATGCACCAAAGACACTGAGAAAAACTGATTACAAAATATATACAGCGCATTCTCAGGGTACACAGCACTGCCATGGCATGTGTATCTGTGGTCTCACAGACTACTGTAGCTCTTGCAGCTCTCCCTCCCCCACACGAATAAACAAAGCCCACCCCAGCCCCCTGCTGTTATAAGTCATTACCTACATTTGCAAATCAATACATGCAAATGTTAGCAACCAACCTAGCAAGTTAGCTCCCTGTTCTCAAAACAGGGGCCAATTTCGCTTGGGTTTTCTAGTGTTAAGACGCCCAAAAGCTCTTTCCACTGTCATTCGTGCCTGGCTGAGTCTGTAGTTGAAGTTGCTTTGTGCAACAGCAATATCTCTGCTCTCACGAAATTCCCCCCTCTGGCCCTGATCAAAAAGAGAGGACAGTGCAAAAACTCGAGCATCATGTACTCGTCCCGGTTGCCCAATGTTAACATCCCATATTCTCATTTTGTTAGAATATTGGCCCTTTCTATTAAAGTAGTCTGCTGGTGTGTTTGTGGGGGCTTTGATTGGCACATGGGTTCCATCAATGGCTCCAACAACTTGTGGGAATCTCCATTTATCTTTGAATCCTTGCGATATTTTTCTGAAGTCCGCTGCAGAGGGAGTTTTTAAGTAAAGTGGTTTTAGAGTTGTATTTATTGCTGTAATGACTTCCTGAGTGATAACGCAGCATGTGGATGTGCCAACTCCAAAAAGGTGCGAGATGGACCTGTATTCCAGGTTAGTGGCAAGTCTCCACAAACAAATTGCCACACGGATCTCCACAGAATGAGGGCTTCGGTACCTTGTGTGCTCTCGAGATAAATAGGGGCGTAGAATTCCACAGAGAGTGTGAAAAGTGTCTTTTCTCATTCTAAAGTTGTTTAACCAGTCTCTGTCTGTCCATGTTCTTTGAATGAGTTGCCACCATTCCTGGCATCGTGGGTAGACCCAGGTTGTCCTGAAAAATAAGAAAAAGTGTCATATTAAGAAGTAGGAGGACATGAGCTAAATAAACAGCGTACATACAGTACATAAACTACAGCGATACATTATCGATCAAACTTAAATACAATATAGACCCTGTGTATGTCTCTGTCTTACATACATACAAAACATTTAAATACATATATATATATATATACACACACATATATAAATGTATATATACATATATTTCTCATTTTTTGCCTAAAGAGATAGTTCTTGTGATGGGCTACATTTTGGGAGCAGTCAGAGCTGAAAGAAAAAACTTGTTTGCAACAGGCTTATGGAGTTAACATTGTTCACAGTATACAGTGATGTTAATGGTAGTATCTTCAAATCATTTGCATTATTAAAAGCCTGACACTGTTTGACTCGCGTCTCAAAAGCAATATCCCGTATCATGTAGTGAATTGTGTTCTTTGGTTCATACCTGATCCTCTGTCGTCTGTTTATCCACAATGCTGCTGTCTGTATGCTGTGGGACAGGACACGTAGCGCACAGAGTCTCCTTCGGCTTTCGACAGCACACATTCTCCGACGCTGTTCCAAAATTTGAAACAGCGCGTTTCGCCTATGTCTGATGAGCCGCTGTTGTAGTTGAAGGTAGTTTTGTTCTAAAAAGAGCAAACAAAAGCAGAGCAGACATGCACGTACGAGCTGAATGTTTTCCTCCATTTCCGTATTCATTCTCCGTGAGCTCTCTCTGTCCAATAGGAGCCGATCGTCACACGCGTCGATATGTTTATATAAAAAGTTCACTTGCAAAAAGTACAGTCTGAATACGAACCGGAGCAAAAGAAAAAAGTTTGGTCCGCTTTTGATTCGGATCAAGCAAGCGGAGCAAAGGACTTTTCAGGTCTGAATACACCCTAAGTGTGTGCGCTTTAGGTGTGTTTGTGGCTCCACACACACACTGCAGCTGGTGTAGTGCTCGTGAGACACCGCTCGCAAGTCAGAGTGTGCGAGTTTACGGTGTGCAGGGTTCTGTTGGTCCGAGCCCTGTTCTTTATCAAACACAGCTGCAGACTTCTGTGTCAGGCACTTCTCCCGCACTCGCGGACAGTGTACCTCATGGTCACAGACAGAGGATGAAGCCTGCGCAGATCCACCGTGGTCCAGACACTGTTGAAATACACGCCCCGTCGTTTGTGCTGGAGGCACAGGACGCTGGAGTTTCCTTGTGTGTCCAGGACAGTTGTCTGTCCAGGACAGTTGTCTGTGTGTCCAGGACAGTTGTCTGTGTGCGCAGGACAGTTGTGTGCCCAGGACAGTTGTCTGTGTGCGCAGGACAGTTGTCTGTGTGTGCAGGACAGTTGTCTGTGTGTGCAGGACAGTTGTCTGTGTGTGCAGGACAGTTGTCTGTGTGCCCAGGACAGTTGTCTGTGTGCCCAGGACAGTTGTCTGTGTGTCCAGGACAGTTGTCTGTGTGTCCAGGACAGTTGTCTGTGTGTCCAGGACAGTTGTGTGCCCAGGACAGTTGTATGTGTGTCCAGGACAGTTGTGTGCCCAGGACAGTTGTATGTGTGCCCAGGACAGTTGTCTGTGTGTCCAGGACAGTTGTCTGTGTGTCCAGGACAGTTGTGTGCCCAGGACAGTTGTCTGTGTGCCCAGGACAGTTGTCTGTGTGCGCAGGACAGTTGTGTGCCCAGGACAGTTGTATGTGTGCGCAGGACAGTTGTCTGTGTGCCCAGGACAGTTGTCTGTGTGTCCAGGACAGTTGTCTGTGTGTCCAGGACAGTTGTCTGTGTGTCCAGGACAGTTGTATGTGTGTCCAGGACAGTTGTCTGTGTGTCCAGGACAGTTGTCTGTGTGTCCAGGACAGTTGTGTGCCCAGGACAGTTGTATGTGTGCCCAGGACAGTTGTCTGTGTGCGCAGGACAGTTGTCTGTGTGTCCAGGACAGTTGTGTGTGTGCCCAGGACAGTTGTCTGTGTGTCCAGGACAGTTGTCTGTGTGCCCAGGACAGTTGTCTGTGTGCCCAGGACAGTTGTCTGTGTGTGCAGGACAGTTGTCTGTGTGCCCAGGACAGTTGTCTGTGTGCCCAGGACAGTTGTCTGTGTGTCCAGGACAGTTGTATGTGTGTCCAGGACAGTTGTCTGTGTGCGCAGGACAGTTGTGTGTGTGCAGGACAGTTGTCTGTGTGTCCAGGACAGTTGTCTGTGTGCCCAGGACAGTTGTCTGTGTGTCCAGGACAGTTGTCTGTGTGTCCAGGACAGTTGTGTGTGTGCCCAGGACAGTTGTTGTGTGCCCAGGACAGTTGTCTGTGTGCGCAGGACAGTTGTCTGTGTGCGCAGGACAGTTGTCTGTGTGCGCAGGACAGTTGTCTGTGTGCCCAGGACAGTTGTCTGTGTGTCCAGGACAGTTGTCTGTGTGCCCAGGACAGTTGTCTGTGTGCCCAGGACAGTTGTCTGTGTGTCCAGGACAGTTGTCTGTGTGTCCAGGACAGTTGTCTGTGTGCCCAGGACAGTTGTCTGTGTGCACAGGACAGTTGTCTGTGTGTCCAGGACAGTTGTCTGTGTGTCCAGGACAGTTGTCTGTGTGCCCAGGACAGTTGTCTGTGTGCCCAGGACAGTTGTCTGTGTGCCCAGGACAGTTGTCTGTGTGTCCAGGACAGTTGTCTGTGTGTCCAGGACAGTTGTCTGTGTGTCCAGGACAGTTGTCTGTGTGCCCAGGACAGTTGTCTGTGTGCCCAGGACAGTTGTCTGTGTGCCCAGGACAGTTGTCTGTGTGCTGAAACCCTAAAAGCACTGCACAATTGCGCACACGCAGCTTAGAGTGAACATTGCTTAACACATACAGTAACTAATATTTACATATTATTAAAACATGCAATAAATACATGAAGTACAACTGTGTACATATACAATGGATATAGCTGACAGTATTCAAACTACACAAATACGTTTTTGAGACACAACGAGGTCCTTTAGATGCCGCTGGCGAAATAGTAAGTAAGTAATGTTTATTTATATAGCGCATGTTACAGACCAAGGTACAGACCCAAAGGTACAGACTCAAAGGCACAGACCCAAAGGTACAGACCCAAAGGTACAGACCCAAAGGTACAGACTCAAAGGCACAGACCCAAAGGTACAGACCCAAAGCACTTTCCAAAGTTCAGAGTCAGATATTGTTCCAATCCTTCCACACTCGGCGATGACAGAAGTAGACTGTTGCTGTTTGTTTCAGCCTGATCCAGATGTGTTAATGACACTAGAGCAGACTCTACTGACTGGGGTTGTTGATCTTTGGATGAATCCACCTTTCATTTTTCACCTGTTTAAAAAAATAAAATAAAACATGTACAATTTTTCACTTCAATGTGTTGGGGTCTTTCAGTAAAGAAGTTGTATCCAATTACTTGATTAAAAATCGATAAAGTGCTAGATTAGTAAATTACAAAGAACGTATGTCAAGCGATATTCAACAAGAAAGGAAGAAGCAAAAAAGTAATGTTTACATGATGGTGCTGAACTATTACTGCCGTTTTAGTAAAACACACACACTACAAGTTCTGTGTCCAATCTTGTCGTCCCTCCCCATTCAGTGATTGGTCCCAAATCCATGTGTACATTTTGGGCTGAGTTTGAGTTTTGAATGATTTGAGTGTACATTGGTCCCCATCTGTAAAACAAAATAATGTTTAATAATTTACATATTTCATCTTAACTTTACTCACTATCCAACACTGCTTTCATATTACATGGGGCGCACAGTGGCTCAGCTGGTCGAGGGTTCGATCCCACCACGACCCATATCACCTGCTCCCACTGATGTCTGCTATCATTATGTCCTTGGGCAAGACACTTAACCACACTGTAGTCCCCACTGAAAGATCAAGGCCGTATCTGCGTTGAAGGAGCAGCCATCTTCCTAACCCTAACCCTACTCCTGATTAAATAATCTTGCAGTATAAAGTAGTAGTAGCATGCATGTTTTCTTGATTTTTCCTCAACATGCTGTTGTGGCAGTACAGAGGGCAGACCTTGGGCACTACATCAGAGTTTAATTTAGACAGATCCGATCTAGAGCATCATTACCAGCGGTGCTTCTGCTTATCTCCCTGTATTACTGTGTAGCTGATAAGACAAGGTTGACTTATTGGATTATCCTCCAGTGTAGGACCAGGGTCTGTAATTACACCTATATTTGCAGACTAATGCATGTTCTGTCCTCTCCGAACTAATAATGGCATTATACAGAGAATGTTTTATATACATTTGTTTATTGAAGAGTAACATTTTTGTCAGGAGTCAGGAAGGGGTGAGAGGAAGAGGATAAAGCAGTAGATACAGTAGATATCGATGGTGACGGCTTGGTGGTCGGAGAGGTTGAGGCCTGTGAGTGGGATATTATGGACTGATAATGAGGCAGAGGAGCAGATGAGATCGAGAATATGACCGTGAGAGAGCGTGGGAGAGTTTACATGCTGCATGAGGTTTAGGCAGTTTAAAATGTCCAGAAAATCGGCTGTGCATTTGGAGTGTGGATTATCGACATGGATGTTGAAATCTCCAAGGAAGAGAACAGAGGGAGAGATGGAGGAGAGCTGTGTGTAAAAGTCTGTAAAGTCTGAAAGGAATGAAGTACAGGTTTTGGGGGGGGGGGGCTGGGAGATAGTGAACCAGAGAGTCTGAAGACCAGGTGCTGGAATGTGGTAGTGGCAGGGATGGAGATGGGGCGAAGATTGAGGTTGTGCTGTAGATGACTGCGATGCGATGACTTCCAGGGCAGGGGTGTCGAGGTACGAGTATCCAGGTGGTGTGGTCTGATTTAGGGTCAGGTAGTCCATGGGTTTATGCCGGGTTTCGCTGAGACGGAAGAATTCCAATTTATTGTCAGTTATGAAGTTGTTTAGAAGTAGGCTTTTATTATTTAGTGAGCGTGTGTTGAAGAGGGCCGCCTTGAGTGATTTTTGTTGTGAAGTTGTCGTAGAGGTTGGAATTGAGCGGAGGTTGAAAGGAGTCATGTGACTGGTGCCCAGATGACGCATACGGGAGATTCCAAGATGGCGCGTGTTGTGATCAGTCCAGAGAGAGGGGGATGCTGGTTTCAGTGGAGGAATGGAGGATGTATTTGCGGCAGGAGCTTCTGTGAATGTAGGTACGACGTCGGAGAAGGCAGGGCTGCTTTATCGTGCTGATCAAGTCCAGTGTTGGAGGAGCGCGGTGGTTAAAACTGAGCAGCTGCGAGGATGTGTACCCGAGAGCCACGGTCAGAGATGTGGAGACAGCTGAGGTGATAACAGCCAGTGCCAGGGCAGATTGCATCACACAGAATTAGACTGATTTTAAGGGAAAAAAATATATATACGTATATTAAAATTGTCCCATCACCTTTGGCCCTCCGTGGGCGGTTATCCCTCTCTATCTGTGGGCGGTTATCCCTCTCTAAGCTCGGGTCCTCTACCAGAGGCCTGGGAGCTTGAGGGTTCTGCGCAGTATCTTTCCTAGCACTGCACATTTCTGGACCGAGATGTCCGAGGTTGTTCCGGGGATCCGCTGTAACCACTCTTCTAGCTTCGGGGTCACTGCCCCGAGTGCACCGATCACCACGGGCACTACTGTCATTCTCCACCACCTTTCGAGGAGTTTCCCACTTAGACCTTGGAGTTTCCAGCCCATACTCTGCACAGATGTTTCTGTACACTATGCCAGCCACTTGGTTTGTGTTGGATCGTCTCAGGTGCCTCTTTGCACAACCGACACCTTGGGTCTTGTCTGGTGTGGTATATCTGGGCCTCTATCGCTCTGGTGCTCAGGGCCTGTTCCTGTGCAGCCATGATGAGTGCCTCTGTGCTGTAGGCCAGCTCTTTCTAGCCATTGGTAGGACTTCTTGAGATCAGCTGTTCTTCTGTTATGCTCCGGTGGTACATGCCGTGTAGGGGCTTGTCCTCCCATGATGGGCTCTCCTCCAGCACCTCCTCATCTCGCCACTGCCTGAGACATTCACTGAGTAAGTCATCCGTTTTGGGCTTCTCCATGATGTAGTTATGGAGTTTGGATGTTTGGTCCTGGACAGTGGCTCTCACACTCACTAGTCCTCGGCCTCCTTCTTTACGGCTTACGTACAGTCTCAGGGTCTGGATTTGGGATGGAACCCGCCATGCATGGTAAGGAGCTTTCAAGTTTTAACATCCGCGGTCTGAATCTCTTCCTTTGGCCACCTGATTATTCCTGCAGGGTATCTGATCACTGGCAGGGCGTAGCTGTTAATTGCCCGGGCCTTGTTCTTGCCATTGAGCCGGCTTCTTAGGACCTGCCTTACTCGCTGGAGGTATTTGGCAGTTGCCGCTTTCCTCATCGCCTGTTGGAGGTTGCCATTTGCCTGTGGTATACCGAGATACTTGTAACTGTCCTCAACGTCTGCTATTGTTCCCTCTGGGAGTGAGATCCCTTCTGTGTGGACTACCTTGCCTCGCCGAGTCACCATCCTGCTACATTTCTCGAGTCCAAATGACATCCCGATGTCATGGCTGTAGATCCTGGTGGTTTGGATCAGAGAGTCGATGTCTCTCTCGCTCTTGGCGTACAGCTTGATGTCATCCATGTAGAGGAGGTGACTGATCTTTGCTCCGTTCCTGAGGCGGTATCCATAGCCAGTCTGGTCAATTACTTGGCTTAGAGGGTTGAGGCCTATGCAGAACAGTAGTGGGGACAGAGTATCTCCTTGGTAGATACCACATTTGATGGTCACTTGTGCGAGCGGCCATTTGCCTCAAGGATTGATCTTAGCCTCCAACCGTCCATGGTGGGTCTCACACTGGCAGAAGCGAGGCAACCAGTCTGTGCCATCAGCCCCTCCGACCACCACCAACCATTCACATACACACCAGACTCATTCTAGGCAATGTGGGTGAAGTGTCTTGCCTAAGGACACAACAACAGTTTGGCACTTTACAGCCGCCGCACTGTGGCTGGTGTTCCCAGAGGTTAAGTGTCTTGCCCAAGGACACAACGACAGGAGACAGTGGGAGTTGATGGTGAAGGTTGGGCTCGAACCCACGACCCTCAGGCTCAAAGGTCAATGCTCTACCAACTGAGCTACTGTCGCCCGGCGTGTAATTTTATTTTATTACCTGGCATGTAATTTTATTCACAAATCTGCGCAACTTTTTCTTCAAAAGGACGTACAGTATATACCAATGCATTGCATGGATATGGGTTGCATTTTCGTAAGCAATTCTAAAATAAAGTCAGGTAATGCAGCTTTAAATCTCATCAAGAGTGTGTGAAGCAGTAATCAGAGCAAAAGGTGCTACTTTGAAGAACCGAGAATATAAGACATATTTTCAGTTGTTTCATACTTTTAGTACGTACATAATTCTACATTAGTTAATTCAGGAGTTTTGATGCCTTCAGTGTGAATCTACAATTTTCATAATCATGACACATATATGCATGCATTTGTTTGCAAATTAAATTTCTTATATAAACATGACAATGTATTGATATATTTATTATTTTGGCAGTTTTGGTCCTTATGAGTTTAACTTTACATCTTGTCTGCAATGTCTGATATGATTGAACTGAAAAAAAAGTGTGACCTTAATGAAAGTGTAACGGGAATTTCGACTGCACATTTACATTGAGAATTGTAGAGTAGTTATCAGTGCAAACAACCAATTACAAAAGAGCCAAAGATTGTCTCATTCCGTAGCAGATCTGAGATAGTAATTGTAATAAATGAAATCACCAAATACAGCTAAAGCGTTTTTCTTGCATTTGCTGCTTGTCCTTCAAATGTCTCGTCTCTCAGTTGGGACACTCTGAGCGGTTCCTTCCTCCAGTCGGCGCATCACCCACTGTTAAAGAAGATGATCAGCTTTCCCCCTCTGCACTGGACTAGTCAGACGACCTTAACCAGCGCTCCTGCAGACACTGCTGAGAACAGCATGTGTTTCTGGACTGGTCAAAATCAAAGTGCCCAAAGCTGGCAGGTAGATGACATCTTAAAATGTCAAGGATTAGAGTGATTTCATTATTTGAAAATGAAATCGCCTCACGCTGCCAGTGGTTTATCTCTGGTACATACGTAGGCATTCAGATCTGAGAATAAACTTTTCCAACAATGGCAATCTGACACAACGAGCCCTGTGTCCTGGATCCACAATCAGACCCTAATTATTTAGTTTACAGAAGTATACAGCAAGGTAGTAGCTCTGTACTCACAGATCGGAGCTCCGTGTTAGCGTCTTTTATCGTGGGAATAACACTGGTTTCCAGATCAGCTCTCAGTGAGTTTATTGTGTCGGACTCTCCTCGGACTCTCCTGCACCAACGTGTTTACAGCCTTTCACTGAGACACCATTCATTTGATTTGACCACGTTTCAGCTGATGTTGTGTTATTCTTTTATCATCCATTTTGGATCAACATTGAGATTTCAAACATGGGTGTTAGATTATGATTTTATAGCAGACGGCAGTTATGTCATAGTCTTTCTCATCGTCCTCATTCATTTGGCACTACTTTAGCATGATGACCTGAAATGTCCCTGAAGATTGTGACGAAATCCTCAGCTCTGTGTGAGGTGACCCAGCAAACACTCACTCGCAATCTAATGCAATCAGAGGTACAAGCCCAGCTCCGCTACAACACAGTGGGGTGTAATTAGGAGCCCAGCCCCAAGGCTCTCTCTGGCTCTTCACAGAGGAAGGCTGAGCGGCTGGAGAGGCTGCTGCAAAGCCACACACACTTATTAAAGCAAACAGGCCCGAGGTGCTGCTGCAGATCAACAGGGCGCAGACCAGGGAGTTCTGTAAGGGGTTTGAAAATTATATCAATTATTGGAAATAAGTTTAAAAAGAACAAACAAAATGCATAATTTGTATTAAAGTGTAATTAATTGGAACGTAATGTTAAAGCTGGGGTAGCGTCTTTTCAAACTACAAATTATAATAAATCCAACTAACTAGTTCTTCATCCTGTTGATATTACCATTAGCCTCCCAAGAAGTTCGTCTTCAAGCGTTTGGCGCCGCGGACGTTGCACGTTTTGAGATTTCAAGTGTTTGAGGCGCCTCCAGTGCACCTGACACTATCCATGACTGTATGCATGTATCGTTAGTATTGTTTTACTTTCAGCATTTAACCCCCTCCATCTCATACCTCAAGTTCCCCCCATCTGTAATGTACTCTGTGACTCCGTTTACTTTCTGTATATCTATGACTTTATGTATTGTTAGTGTTGTCTTATGTATAATATAAATATATATATAATGTCTTTGTCCCCATCATGTGTCCATTCAGGTACACTTTATTGGCCACTGTTGGTTAAATCTGTCATCTGCTTTTCTCCCATCCCTATCAGAGGCCATGGACACACACACACACACACACACACACACACACACACACACACACACACACACGCACACACACACACACACACACACACACACACACACACACACACACACACACACACACACACACACACACACACACACACACACACACACACACGCACACACACAGACACACACACACGCACACACACACACACGCACACACACACAGACACACACACACACACACACACACGCACACACACACACACACACACACACACACACACAGACACACACACACACACACACCACTTGCTCAAAATAACTTCACATGAGCTTTTGCGACCCACAATCAAAGCTGTATACAGAGAAGAGGTGGACCGAGCCCCGGGGGACCACAGGCCCAGATCAAAGCTGTATACAGAGAAGAGGTGGACCGAGCCCCGGGGGCCACAGGCCCAGATCAAAGCTGTATACAGAGAAGAGGTGGACCGAGCCCCGGGGGCCACAGGCCCAGATCAAAGCTGTATACAGAGAAGAGGTGGACCGAGCCCCGGGGGACCACAGGCCCAGATCAAAGCTGTATACAGAGAAGAGGTGGACCGAGCCCCGGGGGGCCACAGGCCCAGATCAAAGCTGTATACAGAGAAGAGGTGGACCGAGCCCCGGGGGGCCACAGGCCCAGATCAAAGCTGTATACAGAGAAGAGGTGGACCGAGCCCCGGGGGACCACAGGCCCAGATCAAAGCTGTATACAGAGAAGAGGTGGACCGAGCCCCGGGGGGCCACAGGCCCAGATCAAAGCTGTATACAGAGAAGAGGTGGACCGAGCCCCGGGGGCCACAGGCCCAGATCAAAGCTGTATACAGAGAAGAGGTGGACCGAGCCCCGGGGGACCACAGGCCCAGATCAAAGCTGTATACAGAGAAGAGGTGGACCGAGCCCCGGGGGACCACAGGCCCAGATCAAAGCTGTATACAGAGAAGAGGTGGACCGAGCCCCGGGGGACCACAGGCCCAGATCAAAGCTGTATACAGAGAAGAGGTGGACCGAGCCCCGGGGGGCCACAGGCCCAGATCAAAGCTGTATACAGAGAAGAGGTGGACCGAGCCCCGGGGGCCACAGGCCCAGATCAAAGCTGTATACAGAGAAGAGGTGGACCGAGCCCCGGGGGCCACAGGCCCAGATCAAACACACTCACAGAGAGTCTGGAGATCAGATGCTTGTGCTAAAACGAGCCGCAGAGGGCAAACTGACAGAGCAACAGCAAACAAAGGGAAAATGTCACCGGAATTATGGCAACAAGGTCAAAGTTGATGCATTTATTGTGTTGGGTTTTTATTCTGGGGATACAAAACAAAGTGGTATCTTCAATCTGCACAGTCAGTATGAGGGAAGAGATTTATTTTAGCCCAACAATAAAAACACAGTTGCCACAAAATGTTAGGGATATTAAGATTAAGAGATGAAGAGATCCTTTATTTGTCCCACAGTGGGGAAATGTCAGTGTTGCATCACAAGTTATAGAACAGTATGAAGGAGGAGCACACGGCACAAGTCAAGTGAACAATAGCTATACTAATTAAAATAAAACAACATTTCTATCTCTAGCATCAATAATAAGTTTAAAATCTCTATCTTGAAAATAATAATACAAATAAGCATAAAAGTTTTACATTTGCAAAATAAGAGGCAATTATAAAGTACTGTGTATTCTAGTGCAAGCTAAGTGTAGTTATATGTTAGCATCAGTGTTGCTGGGTACTACAACACCGGCATCTCCTTCCAGCGTGACTACACTTTAGTAACAACCAAGATATACAATATTTGTCGCGTAACCTACGTCTCGAGGCTGCTCTGATTGGCTGTTGGACTGTCCAATATAACAAACAGGGGTTGTGTTTCTTGGTTGAATTGTATCCCATAATAGTTTGGAGAAATTCCAGACCAACCTGCCCACTGAAATGTTATGTAGGTGGGCCTAAAGGTCGACTGGAGCCAGGCTACTGTGAAGGGGCTGCAGACATCCACAGGTCACCTTGGAAAAGAGGTGAATAGAAATCAAATGTAGAAATAAATATGTAAGAAGTAAAGCTGTGAGAGAAGACACTGTGGTCGGATGTTGGCTCAAAACACTTTTCACCAGAGCAAAAAGCCCCACACGCACATGCACACGCAGCATGTTTCACAGTCTGTGTTGGGAAATGGATTTTATGCTCTATATAATTGTAAATACAAATAGACTTATATATCATTTATATCGCTCTGTAATTTGGTCGAGTTGCTGTTAATGAGACTGCACGGTCTCATCGTCAGACCACATACAGGTACATAAATACATCATCATAAATGATTGTGGCCGTTGGCTGTTAGTATGTTCAAATATGCCTTTTGTCCTTTTGTATTTGTTTTATTATTTTCTACATATGAATAATAATGTTGCACAATGCACACACACACACACACGTTTTCTGTTGTATCCCTTAAAATACGTACTTGTGCTGATTGTTGTATGTATGTTCCTTTATAACAACTACAAAAAGCATATGTAGCATATAAGAGTAACGTTATGCCAGGGATAGGACAGAATAGGAAAGAATGGGTTTGTTGGACTAGATCAGAAGACTAGATACGGCTCTCTGGGAGGTGTGAGGCTGGTTACCGGCGGGTGCCATGTATTTACAGTGAAAAACAAACAACATTTAGTGCAAATATATATACAGTTCTGCAGATCAACAGTTCAACAACACAACAATACAGCAGCAGTACTTTTAAAAATGTCCAGAATGGTTCCCAACCATGGGTCACAGGTCGTGACAATCACACACACACAAAACCATGTAGTGGGGTGCCACAACGATGTGGGCTTAAATGTTCATAGTTATGGAGTGTCTTTGCATTGATAATCCAACGGTTATTGCGACAGGTGTGTGTGGATGAGTGAGGGAGTGGACGGACTGCAACAGCCTCCTACCCTGACCGCAGGAGGATTCTCCATCGGATTCAGGGTTGTGTCTTACCCAGACACAAAATGGCCAATTCCCCCTTATAATGAATGCCCAGCGGACGTTACGAATGTGAAGCGATGGTGGGGCTCCTGTGCAGCTGTCCGGTTGCGTCTCCCTCCCGTGTGTGACAGGGAGAAGCGCAAGCGGCTTGTATCACGCGCTACGGCCAATGTGATTGGCTGAGGCAGTTCTCGCGATAGTGAACGGGAACGCGGAGAATGAAATATATTAAAACGATTAAAACGTGGGTTACACATAGAACATTCTTGCTCCCCTGACTGTGTGTATTTGTTTCTATTGCAACACGTCATCCAACTGATGCTTAAACATTACTGAAACATACGTCACATACTGTTAGAATATTAGTATGTAATATTCTGACAGCTCTTGAAAAACCCACACCATGAAAAAAATGCATAATAATAATTCCAAAAAACTTCACAAGCACCTCTTATTATCACAAACCCATCTTCAAGGACCCTTTGACTTTACAAATGTGAGCAGCACTTGGGTTCATCAGTCCTTTGGGGAAGAGAGACAGTCTGAACGTGTCCTGCTCAAGGGCGATCCAGCGACCCACACACGGCGCTCACAGACGCACACACACACGCACACACACACACACACACACACACACACACACACACACACACACACACACACACACACACACACACACACACACACACACACACACACACACACACACACACACACACACACACACACACACACACACACAGACGCCGTGAGGTCAAATGTATGTGGGGCACAATGATCTCATTACAAGCCTTCACTTACACCATATTCCACTTTTAGATTGTGGTCCAACTGAAATGGATCCAACTGGAATGCAGCTCTGCAAGGGGCATTGAGTCAAGGTCAGGAACTGGTGGAATGGACATTCTGGGGGCGGGGTAAGCACTTTTGGCCTCTCCATCGCTAATAAAAGAAAAAATACATGCTTTTTTTGTACAATAATCACTTCTTCAGTTTAAAAATTGTAAATAAGTAAGTTTTTTTAGCGTGATTAATGGTATGAATTTCATAGTTGAAATAGACAGAGTGTGTTGTAGTTCTTATGGAGGAGGAGAGTTGGTATCCGCCGTGTAACAGGTGGTATTTCAAAGTGGATGAGCTTCCGTGATAAACCAACACTACACACAGATAAGTTTGGTCTTCTCAGTCGACCCATCCGGCAACTTCCAAACTAAACGTTCCATTCAGTGGCTTCTTAACATCCATTCACTCTAAACAAACCACTCTCTTTCACAGCGAGCTAGCATCAAAATGTCACCATTTAAAGGTGCCAGGCTAAAAAACTTTAAAAAGTGTTTTACATATTTGACTAAATTTCTTTGGCAGAAGAGAGTTCTTTTGTTTATAAAGGTAGCTGACTCCTGGGGATGACCAAATGCTTCTTTAGACTGATGTGACAATAGTTTGGTTAAGTTTGTCAAAAGTATTAAAGTATCAATTACTAAAACTAACTATCAAAACTAGATACCAATCTGAACTTGGATCGATAGTAAGTAATACAAAAATGATTACATAAACTAGGAAACACTGATAAGGAACAGCGGATCAAGTGGAGACAGCGTGTGAGAGGCGCTGAGCCAAGAGGACCCTTTAAAACCATGAAGAAAGAGTAAGTATTAAGTACCTATTTGTACCCCAAAAACTTTAAACGTCCTGTTCTGGCCATCATTGAAAACACTGCCTGGTTTATATTTAAAGAAATCAGTGTCGAGGACTAGATACATTAATGTCCTTATTGAATTATTTTTTATTATTTAGTGTGTCAATATCCAAATACAAATACATACAAAGTTATTTCAAACATTCTTGGAGGTATTGGAGGAGGAGCAGCAGGAGCCTGACGAATGAGAAGGTGGTCTTGTCTGTTGGTGTCTGGCCTGCTGGCCTTTTTTAATATTAATGTCATATAATATTGATTAATGCCTTTATGATTTCTGTTGGATGCAGAGGACATTTTTTTGGCTGTTTTGAATTGTCATTGCCATCTGTCATAAGTTGTCAGTGTTATAACCCTATAGTGGAGCTTGTAAGGAGAAGAGCAATGTAACATACAAAAGATGTAGAATGGTTAATTAAATGTCCTTTAATAAAATAGGCAAAAGGGGTAAATCATTGTAAAAACTTACCCAAACACAGAATGGCAGACTTTGCTTCTCGAGGCGGATCCCTCAAAAGGAACAAACTGATCAAGGCCGAGAACTGAAATGCGCAGCACGAGAGCCACAATGCTGTCCATGGTGCTGAACGTGCTGCTCCCCTGACCCAAGCTTTTAGCCGCTGCATCAGGAATGCAGTGTGCTTCAGTACACAAGTGGCTGGCGGAGAATAGGACACGTAAGTCCACACGTAAGGCAACTACAGCCGCACTGTTCTGGAATCTGAAGATCAGAAGCACATAACTGCGAGACACAAGTGTGTCCAGGGGAGGTAACGCTGGGACAACAGCTAACGGGAACTGTTGACTGAACATGAACGGAGTCAACGAAACTCCCCGTAACACACTTCTGTAACCGCAGGAAGATTGAAACGTTGAACTTTGGTGTCTCGCAGGATACGGATCATTCATCTGATGCTTCACCATCCAAAGATACACACGAGGTTCAGGAACAAGAAATGCAGACCTGTTGTTTCAAATAATTGTCTTTATTTGAAATAATACAAATAAAGACAATTATAAAAAAAGAAAAACAGAAAACATACCTAAGTTCTCAGACCTGGGCAAACTGCGGGACTCTTTGTGCTCGTTATCTGTTCAAGAAAACAACCATATCATTTTATTTATTCTTGTCAAATGTTTAAGTGCACATTACCAGTTTAATTTACCTTTGGTACAGAGTTGGTTCAATCCATGTATATCTGTAATCATTATTTTTCAGTGAAAAAACAACCAAACAATACTTTTTATGGGGATAGAGGTATAATCAAAAGAGCCTTTGATGCTGCACTAATACAGTATACAGTACTTTTAAAAGATTGAAGAATCCAGAGACCGAGAAATCACACATATCGCCTTCTTTGCTAACGGAGATCATCAGTAAAGAGGTGTAAAAGATTATATGAGAACTGGTAACAGAGATGCCTGTTAGCCGACCTGTATGGAACTCTTCTCCTTTCCTCGCCAACATAAAAGGCAGTCCCTTTGAAGACAGTCCTGCTGAAAACCCCACAGTTCAAAAGCTAAAAGTATTGCAGCCGAGTTGCATCAGATGGATGTCGCGTCCATTGCACCATTTCCTGGAAAATCCACCATCAACAAAGAGATCCCAAAACAATGCCATTCCACTTGTAAAATATGGTTTAGTCTCTAATAATGTTCATGCCAAGTTAAATCTTCACACTGGAGGAAGAAAAGCCTGGTCTTACCACACAATCTTACTAATTACATTTTGTACTAAGGTCAGGATTTGCAAAACATTCCTCTTGCTTCGGCTTCAATTTCTTGATGTTTTGGAGCCAAACCAGAACAGATTACTTTACTATCCCATTCGTCACCACCAAACTACAACCAGCAATTTCACTGCAAACTCTTGATGTCATGAGACTTGCCTACAACACCTAAGATCAGACCCAGACGTATTTGACCCAGACATAACGTACCGCCATGTTGGATCCAGAGTGAGAATATGTGGTCTCTGAGGAGGAGGGAAGAGAGCTTTCCTTTGATTAAGGAAGGTTCATCTAGTCTTCTCTGTAGATGGAGGTTATGTGGTTATTCTATACAAGTGCTTCTCAAAGTGTGCCCTTCTCCCCCGATCGCTCAGTTCAGAGGCCGGCCAGCTCCAGTTCAGAGGCCGGCCAACTCCAGTTCAGAGGCCGGCCAACTCCAGTTCAGAGGCCGGCCAACTCCAGTTCAGAGGCCGACCAACTCCAGTTCAGAGGACGGCCAGCTCCAGTTCAGAGGCCGGCCAGCTCCAGTTCAGAGGCCGGCCAGCTCCAGTTCAGAGGACGGCCAGCTCCAGTTCAGAGGCCGGCCAACTCCAGTTCAGAGGCCGGCCAACTCCAGTTCAGAGGCCGGCCAGCTCCAGTTCAGAGGCCGGCCAACTCCAGTTCAGAGGCCGACCAACTCCAGTTCAGAGGACGGCCAACTCCAGTTCAGAGGCCGGCCAACTCCAGTTCAGAGGCCGACCAACTCCAGTTCAGAGGACGGCCAGCTCCAGTTCAGAGGCCGGCCAGCTCCAGTTCAGAGGCCGGCCAGCTCCAGTTCAGAGGCCGGCCAACTCCAGTTCAGAGGCCGGCCAACTCCAGTTCAGAGGCCGGCCAACTCCAGTTCAGAGGACGGCCAGCTCCAGTTCAGAGGCCGGCCAGCTCCAGTTCAGAGGCCGGCCAACTCCAGTTCAGAGGCCGGCCAGCTCCAGTTCAGAGGCCGGCCAGCTCCAGTTCAGAGGCTGGCCAGCTCCAGTTCAGAGGCTGGCCAGCTCCAGTTCAGAGGCCGGCCAACTCCAGTTCAGAGACCGGCCAGCTCCAGGAAGAGGCCGGCCAGCTCCAGGAAGAGTCCGGCCAACTCCAGCTCAGAGGCCGGCCAGCTCCAGTTCAGAGGCCGGCCAGCTCCAGTTCAGAGGCCGGCCAGCTCCAGTTCAGAGGCCGGCCAACTCCAGTTCAGAGGCCGGCCAACTCCAGTTCAGAGGCCGGCCAGCTCCAGTTCAGAGGCCGGCCAACTCCAGTTCAGAGGCCGGCCAGCTCCAGTTCAGAGGCCGGCCAACTCCAGTTCAGAGGCCGGCCAGCTCCAGTTCAGAGGCCGGCCACTCCAGTTCAGAGGCCGGCCAACTCCAGTTCAGAGGCCGGCCAACTCCAGTTCAGAGGCCGGCCAACTCCAGTTCAGAGGCCGGCCAGCTCCAGTTCAGAGGCCGGCCAACTCCAGTTCAGAGGCCGGCCAGCTCCAGTTCAGAGGCCGGCCAACTCCAGGAGGAGTCCGGCCAACTCCAGTTCAGAGGCCGGCCAGCTCCAGTTCAGAGGCCGGCCAACTCCAGTTCAGAGGCCGGCCAGCTCCAGTTCAGAGGCCGGCCAACTCCAGTTCAGAGGCCGGCCAGCTCCAGTTCAGAGGCCGGCCAGCTCCAGTTCAGAGGCCGGCCAACTCCAGTTCAGAGGCCGGCCAACTCCAGTTCAGAGGCCGGCCAGCTCCAGTTCAGAGGCCGGCCAACTCCAGGAAGAGTCCTTATATATACAGGTGTGTGCCTTTCTGTGGGACCTTATATATACAGGTGTGTGCCTTTCTGTGGACCTTATATATACAGGTGTGTGCCTTTCTGTGGACCTTATATATACAGGTGTGTGCCTTTCTCTGGGACCTTATATATACAGGTGTGTGCCTTTCTGTGGACCTTATACAGTAGGTCCCATTTCGTTTTGTCGCCTTTCACGCGTGAATAGCACGAGACTCACGTGTGAAACACGCGTCTTTTTTTTTTTTTCCCCAGTGATGCTGCAATGACCCAAACAACCACCAGGTGGCACTTGTGAGCAGGGTTAGGAACATTGGCTTCTGACCGCTCATTCTTCTCTCTTCACCGGACACCTTTTTGTGGCTTTATAGCTCAATGATAAGGAGCTAGACTCTGGTGTGAGAGGACCCGGGTTCAAGTACAGGCTCTGACACTTTTGATTTTGTTGACGTTTACATTTTTTCTAAAAACATACTTAGTAATTAGGCCAACACATTTAAAATAGTTGCTAGACTGTAGTAAACTTGTAAAACGCGCTGGTGTCACACATGGCTGGGGGCATTAACGCACGGGTTGCCACTATTCATTCTATAAAAAGTCCACTTAAATTTTTAATGTAGTCCATTTAAACTTAAGTTTAAAATGTTATTGTTAGTATTTAAATATCTGCACGACCTGACTCCGTCATATCAGACTGACTTGCTTACTTTGCACACTCCGGGAAGAGCACTGAGGTCCTCTGACCAGCTTCTTCTGCACTGTCCCAAACTCTGGAACACTCTCCCTTACTGTATCAGAGCTAACCCTCTGTGGAGAGCTAACCCTCTGTGGAGAGCTAACCCTCTGTGGAGAGCTAACCCTCTGTGGAGAGCTAACCCTCTGTGGAGAGCTAACCCTCTGTGGAGAGCTAACTCTGCACCCAGTCCACAGAGCACCAGCCCCTCACTGATCCTCCTGCAGGTGCTGAGTCCACAGGAGCCAAATAAACAACAATTAAAATAAAAAAATATTGTTTCCCTAAATTGTGATTAAAAAGTCAGGATATGGGAATCCCAAAATAATATTTATTTTTACTCACCAAAGTCCCCTTTCCCCTCGGGTGCATGTTCAGTGCAGCCTGTTTTGATCAGATGTACATGTGTCTTGTGCAGCAGAATCCACACACAGTGCTGTCCAAGCTGGTATCATTAGCCACGTTAGCAGTGTTAGCTCCAAACGAACCAGCCAATCAGAGCTCAGCTAGCTGCTAGCATATTCTTCACGATTTGCGGCGGCTCAAAATGGCGGACAGCTCATTAAATATGCAGAATTTTCTAAAAATCATTGTAGCTAAACTAGAGTGGTCCAGAAAAATTCCCTCCCCTCAGCATTGAAACGTCTGGAATGTAGCTCTGAGCCAAGAGCCGACTTTTGGTCCATCCTGTAAAGACGTTTTTGAGAGGTCTGCTAATGCTATCTGTTAGCATTGAATTATTCTTCTTCTGGGTCCACCCCCACAGGCCCGGGGTGGTATTGCAGCATGTCAGCACACATCTCTTTGGCCACTTCTGAGCCGGGCCCACCCCCGGCTTGGCCTTAAAGCACATTTACAAAAGAAACTCTCCAATAAGAAATGTATTTTATATTCTGTATTTATACTCTCAATTCTGCTCTTGGATTGATACACAAGGTCCCTACTTTTGACGTGGCACACTGACAATGTAAAAAGAACCAAACCACAGATTATCCATCAGTGACTTTCCACACTCTCCATAAACATTAATAGCCCATAAAAAGCTTTGCAATCACGTTATTTCCTGCTGAGAGAGTTAAAAATCCTTTGTACAGTCATTTCCATCCCATCAAACACAAGTCCTGCTTACACAGCCCTTCTCCACCGAGGCATGTGATCCATAAGGATTTTCTACTCTCATCACTAAAGCACTCTGCTGCAGATTTAGAAAGGACAAAGTTGTCACAAGGAGGATTCTTGAGGCACACTTTTGTAAGCATCCTCCAGATCTGCATCAGGTCTACATCTGCAGGCCACTACCCAGGATCTTCAGCTCTACTATTTTGTATTTATTAAAAATGTTTGTGAGGCAAAAAGACAAGAAATAACAGACTTTTGGTCTCGCAGCTTGACATCTGGAAACATATTTAAATATTTGTTCATGTTCTTCACCTCCAGAGCAGATTAGATTTGCTGCGGAAGGGCATTTATTGTCACAGGTCTAAATGGAGTCAAAATAAGCAGACACAGACAAAATAAGCAGACACAGACAAAATAAGCAGACACAGACAAAATAAGCAGACACAGACAAAATAAGCAGACACAGACAAAATAAGCAGACACAGACAAAATAAGCAGACACAGACAAAATAAGTAGACACAGAAAAAATAAGTAGACACAGACAGAAAAAGTTGTATCGTGTAAAAGATAACGTTGGGCAGGCAGAAGAACAGGCAGCCAGGTGAATGATCTGAATGATGAAAACAGTCTGGAACAGGCTGAGAAGACAAACAAACCCTTCTACTGCAGTAATCATTCATGGGTGTGAGCCAAGGGATATGGGGAGAAGGCACGGAGGAGTGGAGAGGAACCAGACTGTGACCCCATCCTCAAAGGAAACAGAGGGTTGGAAACCAAGGGCACATTCAAATGGTGACATACCAAGAGAAGCAGAAAAGAATACTACACTGTAAACCCGGACAAGTTCAGACTACTCAAGTCACATTAGGAAACCCATTCCACACAAACCGATTGAGTTATTGCCCTGAGGCAAAAAAATGAATTGATTAAGTAGAGTAAACTTAAAAAGTAAAACAAAACACAAATTACTATATGGAGTCATAGCCAGTCAATGTGTTTAAGTTTTCCAATTTAAGAATTCCAAGTTCAGTTAACTTGTTGGGGAATTACTAAAAGAAAACTGTTTTGTTTTAGTAGTGTCAATATTAGAAAACTCAAATGTTTGCTTAGTACTACTTTAAAGCTCATATATTTAATTAAAACTAACTTAAAATGTCAAGGCAAACACCGATATCAACAAGGACATGCTAATGACCAGAAAAGGCAGTTTTTTAAAGAACACATCCCAGAATTTGTTCAGGCACTTATGGTTCTCCAAGTGATGTGTGTAAGTCAGTCCAAACAGGAGACACTTTTCCCAAAGGAAGACTGCAGAACAGAAGGATGCCAACTTCTTGCTCTGGACTTGAGTTTTCACCATTGATTATGATTTCTATGGGATGTGGGTCACCATCAGCAGCGTTCTGCAAAGGGGAAACAAGAAGAAACAGTGAGTAACCTGTTTGTGGAGAGTAACGCAAGCACTGGTCCTTCCAATTGTCAATCATTCATTTGTTCTCGTCAAATAAGACCAGAGTTTAGTTAAAAAAAATGAAGAGGGTGGTTCTTTCCTACACTGTAAATTCTTGTTTTGACTTTTAATTGTCTTAACACATAATATTGAGTCAAATTGGCAGTTTTTTTGCAAAAAGCTGTCACAAAGCGAAATTATGAATTGAAACAACTCTTCAACAGTAAACGTAAAAATAGAGTTTAAGATAACTATTTTATATTCAAAGAACATAAGCTAAGTCATTAATTGTGGCTATACCTGCCTTTGAATGCCAGATCCCGTTAGACCACTGATGCTATGCAGGGCAGGGCCTGGTTAGTGTTGTGATGGGAGTCCTTGGGGTACACCGGGTGCCATAGTGGGAGGCTGCAGCTGTAAAGTGCCAAACTGTCCTTGGGCAAAACACTTCACCAACATTGCCTAGAATGAGTCTGGTGTGTGTGTGAATGGTTGGTGGTGGTCGGAGGGGCCAAATGGCACAGACTGGTTGCCTCGTTTCTGTCGGGTAACTGGGGCTACATTAGTCGTTTATCACCACTGTGTATGGAGCGAATGAATAATCACATGTGAAGTGACTTTGAGTGTCCCAAAAAGTGCTACATTGTATAAAAACCCGTGCATTATTACTACTATTAAAAGAAAATGGACCCAATGCACTGATTATAAGCCGAACAGAGGAGGGAGTGTGCTAGGGCTACGGGCGGGATGAGCTTCGGCAACTGAACACGCCGTCACCCCTTCTTTATATTAAAGCTGCACTAACTGACTTTATTTTTGTGTTCATTACGAAAATCCAATCTTTTTCCATGCAATGCATTGGGACATACGTCCTTTTGAAGAAAAAGTAGCGCAGATTTGTGCTTGCGTGTCATTTAATTTTGGATCGAGTTTTTGGGAAACAGGGAAGAGAATGTGTTTCGGGTCCAGATTGTGACCAATCACAGTGGACCACTGGCCCCCACTTTCTTGAGAAAAGCCACAGGTCTCTTGTTAGCACAGACAGCTGAGGTAAACAGGCAGCGGAGAATAACCTGAAACTTCCTGTGTCTTTGTTACCGGCTTCTGCTTACACAGCAAAACAGCCAAAAGAAAGTCTTGTTCCTCCGCGCTTCCTGTTTCTATCAATCTATGGTCACGCCTTCCACCTTCAAAAGTGCAATCCATATTGTGAGAGGGGGGTGTGTAGTGTGGATAAGACTTTAGAACCACAGACACATGTTTATATAAGACTTTAGAACCACTGACACATGTTCAGAATAAGACTTTAGAACCACAGACACATGTTCAGTATGAGACTTTAGAACCACAGACACATGTTCAGAATAAGACTTTAGAACCACAGACACATGTTCAGTATTAGAACCACAGACACATGTTCAGAATAAGACTTTAGAACCACAGACACATGTTCAGTATAAGACTTTAGAACCACAGACACATGTTCAGTATGAGACTTTAGAACCACAGACACATGTTCAGAATAAGACTTTAGAACCACAGACACATGTTCAGTATAAGACTTTAGAACCACAGACACATGTTCAGAATAAGACTTTAGAACCACAGACACATGTTCAGTATAAGACTTTAGAACCACAGACACATGTTCAGTATAAGACTTTAGAACCACAGACACATGTTCAGTATAAGACTTTAGAACCACAGACACATGTTCAGAATAAGACTTTAGAACCACAGACACATGTTCAGAATAAGACTTTAGAACCACAGACACATGTTCAGTATAAGACTTTAGAACCACAGACACATGTTCAGTATAAGACTTTAGAACCACAGACACATGTTCAGAATAAGACTTTAGAACCACAGACACATGTTCAGTATAAGACTTTAGAACCACAGACACATGTTCAGTATAAGACTTTAGAACCACAGACACATGTTCAGTATGAGACTTTAGAACCACAGACACATGGTCAGTATAAGACTTTAGAACCACAGACACATGTTCAGTATAAGACTTTAGAACCACAGACACATGTTCAGAATAAGACTTTAGAACCACAGACACATGTTCAGTATAAGACTTTAGAACCACAGACACATGTTCAGAATAAGACTTTAGAACCACAGACACATGTTCAGTATAAGACTTTAGAACCACAGACACATGTTCAGAATAAGACTTTAGAACCACAGACACATGTTCAGTATAAGACTTTAGAACCACAGACACATGTTCAGTATAAGACTTTAGAACCACAGACACATGTTCAGTATAAGACTTTAGAACCACAGACACATGTTCAGTATAAGACTTTAGAACCACAGACACATGTTCAGAATAAGACTTTAGAACCACAGACACATGTTCAGAATAAGACTTTAGAACCACAGACACATGTTCAGTATAAGACTTTAGAACCACAGACACATGTTCAGTATAAGACTTTAGAACCACAGACACATGTTCAGAATAAGACTTTAGAACCACAGACACATGTTCAGTATAAGACTTTAGAACCACAGACACACGTTTATATAAGACTTTAGAACCACAGACACATGTTTATATAAGACTTTAGAACCACAGACACACGTTTATATAAGACTTTAGAACCACAGACACATGTTCAGAATAAGACTTTAGAACCACAGACACATGTTCAGAATAAGACTTTAGAACCACAGACACATGTTCAGTATAAGACTTTAGAACCACAGACACATGTTCAGAATAAGACTTTAGAACCACAGACACATGTTCAGAATAAGACTTTAGAACCACAGACACATGTTCAGAATAAGACTTTAGAACCACAGACACATGTTCAGTATAAGACTTTAGAACCACAGACACATGTTCAGAATAAGACTTTAGAACCACAGACACATGTTCAGAATAAGACTTTAGAACCACAGACACATGTTCAGAATAAGACTTTAGAACCACAGACACATGTTTATATAAGACTTTAGAACCACAGACACATGTTCAGTATAAGACTTTAGAACCACAGACACATGTTCAGTATAAGACTTTAGAACCACAGACACATGTTCAGTATAAGACTTTAGAACCACAGACACATGTTCAGTATAACATGTGTTGGGTTAATTATTGTTGAAGATGAGTTGTTAAACTTCCTTGCTGTCAAAATGCATATATTGACGCAAGATGAACTTATAATGCTCGCAACAAGACATTTCTCGTCGGAATGGATTGAGGACTCCAAACGAATCCTGTTTGACGTTTGTCCTAAAACATCTCTGCGCAACATTGCACACAAAGGCCCGCAGAAGGATATAAACAACATCAAGGCTTGTTTGAAAGTGCTCAATGAATCTGGCGAAAACATCCCTCGGTTTGTTTCGCATTATTTGGATGAGCTGCCTATTGTTGGATTTGGGAGTCTGGACGCCTCCGCGCTTCTCAGCCGGGTGGAGCAACTCAGCCGGGACGTCCTGTCAGTAAGGCTGGCGTCCGAGGAGCAGGCTAAAGTTAGCGAAAACCTGCGACAAGCTTCAGAGGCTATCGAACGCCGGGTAGGACTGATTGAGGGGGCTCAATCCAGCCCGGATTCTAGCCTAGAGTCCAGTGGAACTATGCGCGCCCCTGCTGTGTGCGTATCGGACCCAATTGCGGCGCAGAACCGGGCGGGTGCTAGCGCCTCAACTCGGGAGTGGACCACTGTTGTCAAAACGGGCCGGCGACTGAAACAAGGGCCTCAACTGAGCTCGAAACCACCCCAAGCTGCAGGGAAAGATCGAAGGAAAGTTGGAATTACTGGGACAAGCACCGCAAGCACGATCAAGGTGGTTACATCTAAGCTGGTGAGTGTGTTTGCTACCCGCTTTGACCCGGCGCTTGATGCTGAAACTTTATGTGGCTACCTGGCGGAGAAACTTAACAACAACTCAGTCGTGTGTAGAAAGATTGCAACAATTCAGAGCCGGTACAGCTCATTTCACGTCACGGCAGAATGCTCCGATGTCGCGTGTTTCTATGACCCAGATCTATGGCCGGCTGGCATCTTTGTGCGCCGCTACTATGAACCACGCAGGGCTGGTGGAATTCATGGAGCAGGGATGTCTGGTGCGGTGAGGGATACCTCACCAGAACACGGTAATGCAGCAGTGGAGAGTGACGTGACCAATGCGTAAAGGATGCATGCGTATAATGGTTAACACTCAACATGGCTTTTTCAGTGGTATCCTATAATGCGCGCGGACTGCGTGTGGGGCATAGTGATGGAGACAGAGCACGCCGTCTCACAGTGGATAAACTATTAGAAACCTGTGATGTACTGTGCATACAAGAGACATTTTTGACCAAACAAGAT